AATTTCTGAATTGAAGACCACAGCAAAAGAAATCAAAAGCAGGCTAGATAAAGCCGAGGATCGAATCAGCAAGCTAGAGGACAAGGTAGAAAAAAGCTCCCAAAAAGAGCAAGAAAATGAAAAAAGACTCAAAAAGAATCAAGAAGTGTTTAGAGAAATGCAGGACAACCTGAAACGTAATAATATCCGTATACTAGGGATACCAGAAGGAGAAGAGGATGAGGAAGGGATAGAGAACCTGTTTGAAAAGGTAATGATGGAAAACTTCCCTAACTGGAGGAGAGAAAAAGTCACGCAAGTTCAGGAGGCAGAGAGGGTCCCATTCACGAGGAACCCAATGAGGCCCACTCCAAGACACATCATAATTAAAATGCCAAATATCAAAGACAAACAGAGAATCCTAAAGCAAGCAAGGGAGAAAGAGGTAGTAACATATAAAGGAGCTCAAATATGGCTAGCATCTGGCTTCTCAACAGAAACACTGCAAGCCAGAAGGCAAGGGCAAGAAATACACCACGTAATGAAAAGCAAAGGCCTGCAACCAAGACTGCTCTACCCAGCAAGGCTCTCAATAAAAACGGAGGGTGAAAAAAGGAGTTCCCAGACAAAAGAAGGCTGAAAGAACATACCTCCACCAAACCAGCATTGCAAAATATGCTAAAGGCACTGCTTTAAGATGAAGAAAAAGTTTCTATAAATACCCAATTCCTTTCAGAGTTGTCAATACTTGATATTACCAATATTTTTAATACTCATTAATCTGATTGTGACAATGATGTTATTTTAATTGTTCCTTTACTATTTGTTGAAACTAAACCTGTTTTAGTATATTTCTTGCCTATTTATAATATTTTTTTTAAAAAGCTTTAAATGACTTTGGTATTCATTATCCATTTATTGATTAAAGGTTTGTAGAACTTTTTCCCTAAAAAAAAACAAACAAACCCCAAAGAACCTATTAACCATGTTTTAGATGTGTTGCAAATACTTCACTATTCTATTCCTTGTCCTTTAACTATTTTTATAAGTATATTACTATATAGTTAAATGTTTAATATAGTCATATTGTCAATGTTTATAGCTTCTGGGTTTGAATATTTTACTTCAGGTCATGAAAAATATTAGTTCTATTTTCTTCTAAAACCTTAGATTCTACATATTGATTTTTAACTCACCTGAATATTTCTTGTATAATGTGTGAAATAAGGCTCTATATTTGTTTTATTTCAAGTAACAGTGGTCCATGCACTTTATTTGTTGAATAAGCCTTACTTTACCCACTGAATTTTGAAGTATCAACTTAATCATATATTATATTGTTAGACAGATATATACATTTGTCTCTAGAATGCTCATTATATTTCATTAATCTACCTGATTATTTCTGTGCTGGTGTCATGTTGGTTTAATCTGCTGAGACTTTATAATGGTTTTAAATTTTTTAAATATTTTATAATTAACTTTGACATTTAAAAAAATAAATAAAATCAATCTGCATTTAAGAAAGAAAGAGAGAGAGAGGGAACTCCTACGTTTTGTGACAACATGAATGGAACTGGAGAATATTATGCTAAGTGAAATAAGCTAGTTGATGAGAGACAAATACCATATCACCTCACCTATAAGTGGATTCTATTCAACAAAATAAACTAATGAACAAAATAAACCACAGGCATGGAAACATGGAGCAGACTGAAAGTGACCAGAGGGGATGGGGAAAGAGGACAATGGTGGAAAGAGGGGAAGGAACTAGACAAAAAACATGTCTGAATGACCCATGGACATGGACAAACTGACTGTGGGAGCGGGGATGGGAGTGGGATGGGTGGAGGGGGGTAAAGGGGGAAAAAACTGAGACAACTGTAATAGAATAAACATGATTTATAAATTTTAAAAAAAGTTAAAATAATAAAATAAAATAAATTTAAAAAAAAAAGGAAGGCGAAATAAGGAGTTTCCCAGACAAAAGAAGGCTAAAAGAATACACCGCCACCAAACCAGCACTGCAAAATATGCTAAAGGGACTGCTTTAAGATGAATAAAAGGAGTCTATGAATACCCAGTTCCTTTCACAGATGCCAATACTTGATATTACCAATATTTTTTAATACATATTAATCTGTGACAATGATGTACTTTAATTGTTCCTTTATTATCTGTTGAAACTAAACCTGTTTTTGTATATTTCTTGCCCATTTCTATTATTTGTAAAAAGTTTTAAATGACTTTTTGGTATTCTTTATCCATTTTTTTGATTAAATGTTTGTAGATTTTTTTCCCTAAAACAAACAAAGAAACAAACGATTAACCCTTTTTTAGATGTGTGGCAAATACTTTCCTATCCTATTACCTGTCCTTTAACCTTTTTATATGTATATTACTGTACAGTCTTAAATGTTTAATACAGTCATATTGTCAATATTTTACTTTGTAGCTTCTGGGTTTGAATATGTTACTTCAGGGTAAGAAAAATATTAGTTTGTATTTTCTCCTAAAACTCCTTATATTTTACATATTGATTTTTAACTCACCTGAATATTTTTTGTATAATGTGTGAAATAAGGCTCTATATTTGTTTTATTTCAAGTAATAGTGCTCCATGCACCTTATTTGTTGAATAAGCCTTAAAAAAAAAAAGGGCAAAGGACCTGAACAAACCCTTCTGCAAGGAAGACATACACAGCGCCCAGAGACATATGAAAGGATGCTCTCAGCATCACTAGCCATCAGAGAAATGCAAATTAAAACCACAAGGAGATACCATTTCACACCAGTCAGAATGGCCATCATTAATAAATCAACAAACAAGTGCTGGTGAGGTTGCGGAGAAAAGGGAACCCTAGTACACTTTTGGTGGGAATGCAGACTGGTACAGCCACTGTGGAAAACAGCTTGGAATTTCCTCAAAAAGCTAAAAATGGAACTGCCTTTTGACACAGCGATTCCACTGTTGGGTTCTACCCTAAGAATCCAGAAACACCAATTCAAAAGAATCTATGCACCCCAATGTTCACAGCAGCACACTTTACAGTAGCCAAGTGCTGGAAGCAACCTAAGTGCCAATCAGTAAATGAGTGGATAAAAAAATTATGGTATATTTACACAATGGGATACTATGCAGCAAAAAGAAAGAGTGAGGTGCTACTTTTGCAACATTACAGATGGAACTGGAGAGCATTATGATACATAAAATAAGCCAGACAGTGAAAGACAAATACCGTATGATCTCACCTTTAAGTGGAACCTAATCAACAAAAAAACAAGCGAGCAAAATAGAAGCAGAGACATGGAAATGAACAAACTGACAGTAACCAGGGGGGTGGGGAATAATGGGGGAAAGAAGGGAAAGGGTTGTCAAGGGACATATATAAAGGATCCATGGACAAAATCAAAGGAGGGTAGGACTGAAGGTTGAGGTGGGGTGGGTATGGTGGGGGAAAGTGGTGGCAGGAAATTGAAGACAACTGTACTTGAACAACAATAAAAAAATTATATTAAAAAAGATCTCCAAACCAACATGCAATACTAATTTATTCAATGGATTGTTAAAGTAATTACTGATTTAACTAGAAGCAGTGATAAAACTATATTGGAAAGATAAAAAGTTAAGAGAGCTAAATCATCATCTATCATAAGAGGTTAACAAATAGTTTCTAACATCAAAGAATCACGAGAATAACATAAGGACATTATTTAGAATTATGGGAGTAACACAATACCAAAGAGATATGAAAGTGGTTGTTTCTGGCACAGCATCAAAGGATTCGGAAGAAGAGATATTAACAGGATTGTTTTAGCACTATGGTTATGTATCACTTTGATAAAAATAGAGATTAAGTTCAAAAGATCAATAGGATACCATCCCTGTTTTTAAGAAGTTTATACTCTGCTAGAGGAGACATGCAAAACAATTGTAGTAGCATGTACTACATGTTGTAACAGAAGCAATGTGTATAGTATAGAGGTTACTATCTCTGTCAAGTGAGGAAGGTTTTTGAGGCAAGGAGACACTTGATCTTCAGTTTTAAGGGTGAAAAAGAATTAACTGGTCAGAGAGAGGATGATGAATGTTTCACCCAGCAATAGTCCATGTAAGTTTTCTTTCTAAAAAGCAACTGAGAGTATTCTATAAACACACTTTTGCAACTTGCAGTAATTTTTTACTTAATACATTATGGAGACTTTCCTCAGAAAGCCCTTAAAAACAGCTTTTAGCTTCTCAAGGATCTTTTACTGAAGTCTCATATAAAGGAAGTTAATCTATTTTTTAATATGCTAAGTACCCATTTTTTATTCACAACTATAATGCATGCCTTATAAAAAATTAAATATAAATTTTTAAAAAATCTATTTGTTCCTCCTCTCAAGCTTCCCAAAGATAAGCACTTTTAATGTCCTCCTAGACTATTTTCTATAAAAATATTAATATATATTAACAGGGTGGGGCAAAAGTAGGTTTACAGTTCATGTGGAAAATAATACAACTAATAAATAATAATAGAATCAACTCCGTTTTGCATACTCACAACTGCAAACCTACTTTTGCCCCACCCTATATGTAAATACCACCTAATAAAAGCAAATGTAATATAAAATAAAGCTTTATATACCTATTATATCTTATGCACACACTAGTCTATATACACAAAGAATAGATTTATATATATATATATATATATATATATATATTTTTTTTTTTTTAATCCTCACCAGAGGATATGTTTATTGATTTTAGAGAGATGGGAGGAAGGGAGGGCAAAAGGAAGAAAAAGAGAAATATCGATCAGTACCTTCCGGTATGCACCCTGACTGGGGGATCGAACAAACAATCTAGGTTTGTGCCCTAACCAGGAATTGAACCCATAATATTTTGGTGTAGAGGATGACACTCCAAACATCTGAGCCTCCCAGCCAGGGCACATTTATATTCTTTAAAGTCTGTTATAGTCAAGGACTTTGTGATAAGAAGCACTAAGAATGTTTACTGCATGTCATCTTACCAACACAATCACAGCACTCATCCCAAAGGGTCCCAAGACACAGCATACACTCCTTGCAGCAGGAACAATTTCCTTCTCCAGGTCGGCACTGGCAGAGCTCCTAGAAATAAGGCAAATGTTCAAACTTAAAATTCAAAATAACTATATTTAAAATTGTTAATTTTTTGCAGTAAAAACTATATTTGCATTTATAATAATTTACTCATTAATTTTTTATTAAAGGTCATTAACTATTATAGGAACATAAATACCCACAATGTCAAATAGATCTGCATTTTCTTTTGGACACATTCAATGAACACATTTTGGATGCTTTTACCTTATTTTGAAACATTTATGAAAACATTTCACTTTATAACTAGTAACTTTACCCCCATGCACTACCTCAAAAAATAATTTAATACAAGCACAAAACCTGCTTTTTAGCTATTAGATTCATTGTTTAAATTAATCTAAATGAATAGCCAACTTGAAGTGGGAGCTAAGGTCTCCCAGTGTACAGTGTGAACAAATGCATCTTATAAAAACTGTTATTTTGCCCTGGCCAGATTGCTCAGTTGGTTGGAGTGTCATCCCATGCACCAAAAGTTTGCAAGTTTGATCCCCAGTCAGGGCACAAACCTAGGTTGCAGTTTCAATCCCTGATAGCGGTGCATACAGGAGGCAACCGGTCAATGTTTTTTTCACATCGATGTTTGTCTTTCTGTCTCTCCACTCCCCCTTCCTCTCTCAAGATCACTCTATATCTAAGGGGTCTGGAAATAGACTGTGTCTCTTAATCAAAGGAACTGCAAAGTTACATTGACAAGAGAGTGAACATAGTGAGGGGAAATAATTGCTGTCTTCTTTGTAAATAGTCTATCATACCATGCATACTGTTTTAGTATGCTGTATAACAATAAAAATAGCAGTTTTTTTACTATTTTTTAAGTCCTCACCTGAGACTATGTTTACTGATTTTAGGGAGAGAGGGAGGTAGGGAGAGAGAGGGGAGGAGAGAGAGACAGAGAGAGGTGACATTAAATCTGTTCTGAGTCTAGCCCTCAAAGAGTAATGAATGCTTCTACTCTTTCTCCTTGAACTTTGCCCAGCTGTCACATGTAGTAGCTGCCATGTGTAGCCTGGGAGAAGGCCAGGCTGGCAAATTGGTTGACCTGAATCCATCCTAGCTCATCTAGCCTCTAACCAAACACCAGCTGACCAAGAGACACAGGAATGGGCCCAGAAAAACCACCTTGCTGATACAGGTCCAAATTTCCAACCCACAGAAATAAGAACTAAATAAATAGTTACTGTTTTAAGCCACTAAACTCTGAGGTGGTTTGTTACTTAATGAAAACTAATTAACACAACTTGCTTCACAAATGAAAATTCAAGGTAATTGTGTTACCCCTTAACACCAGACAGCCACTCCTACACAGGCCCAACTTAAAGGGAAATTCTGTAGCCGCCATTGCCTATTTGGCTTTCCCTGGGTTATGAGACGTTAAACATAGCACATAATATTTACCCCTATTAAATTCATCTTATTACATTTCTAAACTACTAGAGTCACTTCATCATTATAATATGACCTATTTTTTGCCACTGATATTTAATCACTCTGATAATAAACACTGATATGTCATTCCTAATTTTTTCTTCTCCAAAAGTCCTTTAGCCATTACACAGCATTTTGAAGAATGAACACTTGTGCTATTTTCCAACTATTTCATTAGTTTGATGTCAATGTGTATCTGTAGAGTCAGGTTGTTTTTCTTCTAATGCAGACTGTAGGTAACTCCTAGGCCTGTCAGAAAGAGAGGGACTAAAAGGGCAGACACTTCCTGAGTACAGATGCTTCATCATAACACTGGTGATACTTGATTCAGACATGCTCAAATTTACTTGGAAATCTACTGCAGGAAAACAGTCACCAAAGGTATACTTTGTGATTTCTTTCTCCATGAAAACCTGTTTTTCCTGTCTTTAGAATGAAAGAACATTTCCTGAGTACACATTTTTTAAAAAACACCATCAGAGTTAAGGATATTGATTCTTTTTGGTTTTTAGTTTTAGAAAGGTTGCCATTTAGTCACAAGAAATAAAGCTTCTTTTAAATTTTGATATACATTTACATAGAAATAAATATCCCTTTACTATCTTAGTTGCTTATATTTATATTATTTAGCTCAGGAAAAACAAATTAGAAAAGCAACAAATTTATTCAAGAATACGCTTATCCTTTTCCCCGTCTATCACAGCTTCCACATGGTAGCCTATTAAATGAATTACTGTATATAATGCTAAATAATTTTAAAATAAATGTCAATTTAATGGATTCCATTAGAGAAACTGAGTTTTTATTCATTTTGCCTTTTATTGTCTGATATTTGTGAGGTGTTTTAAATTAGAACGAAAGGGTAAGTGATATCCTAAGATCACCGCTAACTAATGGAAGATCAAAACTATGACTATTTAAAAATATTTCATCCAGCCCTCAAGAATCAATCTATTTCACACCCTCTTAATAAATGCCTGTACTTTTACATGTCAGTGCAACAGAACAATGCACCACAGTAATATACTTACTGATTATAATATACTGGTAAAATACAAAGTGAGAGGCTATAGAAAGCTGAAACATGAGGGAAATGACTTAAAGATAAACTTCATTACTATCCTATTGAAAAAACTCCTAACACTGGATGAATGCCAAGTAACAATATGCTGTTTTTTATTTCCACTTAACCACAGAAAAGATTGAAAAATCTTTGTCCTAATAAAAAACAAATTTAATCACATAAATTAAGAAATTTTACATAGTAATTAAGCCTCAGGACATATGAAAATAGTATCTCTACTCTTCATAACTCATGTCAATAAGGAAAATTAGACCCTCACATCAACCTTTTAGTCCACATTTGTGCCTTTTCAATTTTCAAAAATATTGGGTTGGCCACAAAGTTCATTTAGTTTTTTTTCATACAATGGTTCTAGTAGTTTTTAGTTGTCTTTAACTTCATTCAAAACAATTTTGTTAGACTGTATTGTGACAGTTGTCATATCAGTGTGCATTTAAAAAAATAGCTTACCAAAATTGGTGAATTTTGTGCAGCCATTTTAATATTGAAGATGAAAGGAGATATGCAACACTCTCGGTGTATTATGCTTTATTATTTCAAGTAAAGTAAAACACAAATGAAATGCATAAAAAAGATTTGTGCAGTGTATGGAGAAGGTTCTGTGGCTGATCAAATATGTCAAAAGTGGCTTGTTAAGTTTTTTGGTACTACTGATATTTTGGGCAAATAATTCTTTGTTGGGGAGATGTCTTATGATTGAAAGATGTTTAGCAGCAACTCTGGCCTCTGTCCCCTAGAAGGCAATAGCAGGAGATAGCTGACATACTCAAAATATCCAAATCAATAAAGTTATTGGTGAAAATGAAAAATGTCTTTTAAAGGAAAAACTAAATGGACTTTTTGGCCACCCCAACACACTTAACTCCTCATTTTTCAGGAGAAAATTCCACACAAATTTAGTATATGGCATTTAGGATCTCAAAAACCTAACTGCAAATTAAGAGAACAAAAATATCCCTGGCCACTGTGGCTCAGTTGTTTGGAACACCTCCCCTAGACCAAAGGGTTGCAGGTTTGATTCCTGATCTGAGAAGGTAACCGATCCATATTTCCTTCTCGCATTGATGTTTCTCTCTCTCTCTCTCTCTCTCTCTCTCTGAAAAACAATGAAAAATGTCCTCTTGTGTAATTTAAAAAAAATTTTAAAAAGATTTTAAAATTTTAAGATTTTAAAAAAGGAGCAAAAATATATGGTAATCATTTGCTTTATGACAACTGTTAAGTCAAGACATAAATAAAAACAATGAATTTCCATGTGTAAATTATTATGAATAACAGCTACGTGTAGCTCATCAATTCATCTTTTTTATTCAATTTACATGTCCTTTAAAATCACAGTATTGAATAATATTTGGTCATAAACATACTTGGAAATGCATACTTTAATTTTTTGACAGCAAGCAAAATGTGGTTAGGATGAATATTTCTAAGAATAAAAATACATTCCTAAAGTGCTTTGAATCTAAGTATACAAAAGAAAACAAAGCAACTCAAAATGTAACTCTATGATGAATCAAGGATCGTAGAAAAAATTACTCCATTTGAAAGTGTTAAGCAGAATCTTTTCTTGAGGACACTTAAAAAGAAATCTTTAAGATTAGTTGTTTTAGTTATGAGGTTACAAATGAATCTTCAGTAATCAGGAAGAGGGTAGAGTAAAACTAATGCCTTTAAAAATTTCATATATGTATTTGAACTATAAAAGACTTTGAAAAATATTTACTAGAGTACAAGGAAAAACATCCAAATTTTTCCCATTTTGGTAAATTCCTATGCATTTCTAACAAAATGATGACTGCATACTCTCCTGCACTATAAGCAACTCCCTATTGTAAAAATCTGTCAACATAGTTTAATAGCTGCCTAATAGTATATTCTATGTATTAAAATTTAGAAATAGGCCTTAAGTTCCTCACTATTCCACAACTTGTCCAAATTCTCATTCTTTATTACTAATTTCAAAAACTTTTATCTTCCACCTTACTATTATTTCAAAGTTTCCACTTATGAAACAGAAAATATGGTTGAGATACAGAATTTCCTGTTTGGAAAAACTTGGCTATTTATATTTTACCATCCTTACTATGACTAAACGTCAACACTGCTCAGTTGAATGGAATCATGTGATCACAACCAAACACAACGTTCACAGAAGTCCAAAAAAGACTAAGTCAGTGATTCCATTTATTTACTGTGCCACCTCCCCAAAGTTCCTACGGGAGTTTTATTCATCACTAACAGGCACTGTGCTGAGTGTTTTATATGCATTATCTAGAATCTCATAGAGCCTTAATAAGGTAGTTATTATTTCATTTTGAAGTAAGTTTAGGAAATTTGTACATCATTCAATTAGTAAGTGGCTAAGGTTTGACCCCAGTTTTGGTTTGATATGCCTGCTTTTTAAACACTAGAATAAGATATAGAAAACTTATTCCTTATTAATTTAGCATTTCAATAATTATAGTTATTACTCTTA